TCAGGGCTGTGCTCCTCTGGGAAGTAAACATCTGAGTTTTAAAGACATCAAGTCAGGAACCTTCTGTTTACTTTCATACCCATGGGACTCCTGGAGAAGCTAATGTTCAGGTTGCTTGTGTCAAGGGAGTTGAGGACAAGGAGTGAGGAGCCCCGATGCTGGGCTTGATTTCTTCCTCTTCTTCCTGTCTGCTCACACGGTCGAGCTCCACCCTCCTCCTGACCTCCAGGGCCACTGTGCCCCTGCTCCGATCCCCCCTGGCTCACGCGCAGCAGCCCTCGCTGCCTGTGGATCAGAGGCCCCTCCCCTCCACATGGCATGACGGGCTGCCTGTGACTGGGCTCCAGTGCCCCCTCCCTCACCAGTCTGAGTCCACCGAGTTCCAAAACGTCTGACCCCCAGCCCCATCACCAGAAGGCAGCAAGAATGCCTCTTGCCTTCCCTTTGCAGCGACGAACCTTCCAGACCCACGTAGAGCATCACCGGGGAGGCATGGCCAGCTCCTCCCCAGCAGAATTACATAAGCAACAGCCCTTTGCTCCCTGGCACTCTGTACACCACCATGCTTTGCAGGCTTTCTCCTTGTCCGTTCCCATGGGGGCTGTGAGGAAGCCCCTTGGGTCTGTCTTATCGATCTCCTGATCCCTAGATGGACACACTCGAGTAAATAAACGAATCAATCTTATCTCAGGGGGGTTTTATGAGGATTATTATTAAATAAAGTAAAATTTACTGGGAACTATTGTGTGCCAGAACCCACTTAAGTATGCTCAACGTATTAGCTCATTTAATTCTGCAGCCCTGTGATGTGTTTATTGGCTATTTTGCAGGACAGGAAATTGTAAAGCTGAGACCACACAGCTGGTAAGAGACAGATGTAGGTTCCAGAACTAGGCCTTCTGACTGCAGTGCCTTGTCCTCACTACAATATGTATGTTATAACTTCTGACTTAAAGCCAGGACTGCCTACCAAATGTTATTTGCTTCTCTCTCTCTCTTTTCTTTGCTTCTGTTTTAAGTGAGCTCAAGCCTCTGTCCCTTGGCTCAGCCTCCTCCAGCTCCCTTTCCCAAACCCACACTCATGTGTCACTTGGCTTCTATGGTCTTCTTTGGACTGTGTTTCTTCTGCTCACCTAATGTGTGGACTCCTTCAGAGCAGTGTAATACACTGTATCCTTCCCAAGGCTATCACTATCCCAGACACTGATGGCACAGGGTGGCAGAGTCCGTAGGCACAGGGGACAGGATGGGAGCCAGAGAAGGCAATCTGTGACCCAGGAAGGGCACACAGAGGAGGGAAGATGCTGGCCTAGTGCCTGCAAGCCTCTGGGGGGGTCGCCTCCCACCCACTCCATGACCAAAGGTAGAACTGACCAGCCTTGGTGACCAGCTGGCTGCAGGATAAGATCCGAAAGAATCCAGAACAACATTTTTTGGACTGAAAACTATTTTCCAGTGTTGCCATCCACTGGGATGGGGAAGGTGGAAGGAGCAAGCGTGTGGGGAAATGTAGGTTTAGTTGTAGACACGCTGAACTTTCTGTCAATGTTTGTAGAAAAGAAAGAAGATTCTAGGTTTCCATCCTAGAACACTTTCCTTTGCCTTCCTTAGGAATGCTCCAAGCAGAGCGAGAGGCCAAGAGTCTGTGTCTCGTGGTTGCCTGTGGCTGGCGGGTGAGGTACAGCCACAATTGCCATGGGGTGGAGATTGGGGGTTCCCACCCATGCCTGGGCTGTGGGTCCTTAGTCAAGACTCCAGCTGAACCTGGAAGCTTCAGTCCTTCTTCAGCTCTGGTGTACCACCAGGCATCCCAGCTCCAGCTTGGAGCCCAGAAGCCAGGAAGTCAGACAAGTCCAAGGGATGGGACATGTTGGTGATGGGGGGATGGGACAGGTTGGTGATATGGTTTATTCATGAAAGGGACACCTGATTTGAGAGGGCTCCTCTCTCACCCTCCATTGCACCCTCCACCTCCCTCTCCAGCTAGTCCAACCAGCTATTACACCAGCAGCACTGAAAAGGTTTTCCAGTTTGCCAGATAGATGACTGAGAAGTTGGATACCTAAGCAACCCATAGTATTGGAAACAACAGCTAGTCCTGGAAGCATTCTGCAGTTCATGCTAATTAGCTAAACGCTCTGAGAAGTCCCTGTTTACACACAGACAACCAGTACGCCAATTCTTGAGTAATTCTTATCTTTACGTTCTAGAGGATTCCCTGAAGTCCATTATTAGGTAACATTTGATTAACCCAGTTTGATTCATTGCAGGTACTTCCACTGGAGACTGGATTTAAGCTAATTTCCCTAAAGAACTACCACTCATTATTCATTAATTGGAGTTTTATCTGTAATTTAATTGGGAAGGCTAAGCATCTAGCTCGGGAAAGGCCCAGCGCGTTGATGACAGTTGTGTATTCTGTGCAAATAATGGCTGAGGTTGAGCTTCCATTTGCAAAGTTTTCTGTTCACACCTGTGAGATCCCAGCACCTTGTCGCTCTGGTGGGAGGCTTAAGGACTTAAAGACCAAAGAAGAAATAGGTAGACCATGGCCACCGCTAACAATGGTCGGGAATGTTGATCCTGATGGCCATTGCTGAGGACTGTTCATTTTTATCAGGCTAGGGATATGAGCCTCAGTTTCCAATTGATGTGATAAGTGAAGAAGAATAAGCTTAAAAAATATATCCAGCCACTCCAGAGCCTGTCAGCTGTGTAGCAGAAATGAGTACGCTTGTCTTTGGCTGCTCCTAGGCCCCCAGTGAGAAGCAGGGTGACTGGTGGGATTGTATCCACCTGGGAGCTTGGGAGGCAGCAGGGACAGAGGAAATGAACTTGAGGGAGACCCCCGCCTCCCTTGAATGTGGAGTTCAGCGTTTTCGGTGGGTAGTGAGGGAGTGAGTAGATTCGAGAGCCAAGGTGCTGCGCCCAGGCCTGTGGCCTTCCTCATCTCCAAGGGCAGTGAGTCAGGGGGTGCTGAGGGTCCTGCAAATGATGTAGGTATTCCTCTTCGGCCCTTCCAGAAAAGGTAAGACTCTAAACACAGGGACACAAAGGCAAGAAGACCCCACAGATGGGGCAAATGAAGCCAGTCTGGGACTCCCAGCAGGCCCAGCTTTGACTGGTTGGAGACAAATGGGCCCGGGGCTCCCTTCTGCACCCTCACCTTGGTCCGTGAGCCCAGAGCAAGTGCAGAGCCTGGGGGGTCAAAATGGGCGAAACCCATTGTCAGGGACCCTGAAGAATTGAGTGGGGGCTAGAATATATCACGCTCCGAATCCCCAGACTCCTGTAATGATTCTGAAACTTATAATTTCCAGTAAATCAGGCAAATTTAGCCTAAAGCAGTTGGAGTTAATAAAATTTTTAGTAGATGCTCATGGTCCTTTCAAATTCTAGCTTTTGCTCTCTCCCCAGCTAGTCGTTAATGTAATTTCTGTCCAGAATCTCAATTTTCCACCCACCTTCTCCCTTCAGCCTGTAGTTGGAAGATAACATCCCATGAAGAGAACCCCAGCTTTTCTTCCGCTGATTGTTCCTTGTGAGGCCCCCCCCTGCCCCCCCCGACAGAACCACCTTCATCCTCTGAGCTGTGGGCAGGGGCCAGGATCCGCTTCAGCTTGGAGGGATGGAAGGGTGTGGCAAGGGGACACTCTGGTTGTGCAGGGAAGTGGCAGAGTCTGACCTCCATCAGGCTGATTTATTCACCTCCCACTTTCCTGCAAGGCTCCTGGTAATGTCACACCAGAGAGGAGGCAGGGATTAGGGAGGGGAAACCCACAAATTCCCCCTCCACAACCCTGCCTGCTGGCTTTGGGATGAGCACTAGGCATAGAGCATGGTCATTAGTTGGAAAAGACGGGACCCTCTGGGCTTGAAGACGGAGCACATGGACTGTTGTCTGGGCTTGAAGACGGAGCACATGGACTGTTGTCTGGGCTTGAAGACGGAGCACATGGACTGTTGCAGTGTCCGTGAATAAGGAAGCGCGCTGCAGAACGCAGTCCAGGCTTTCCTCCAGGCCTTGAGGGGTTTGTGGATCTGGTCTTTGCCCAGCCGGTGTGCCACACCCAGCTTTCTTCATGGGGGTAACAAGAGCAGAGCTCCCAGGACTTAGTGACCATAGCAAGACAGTTGCCTCAGCTGCTTTTGAAGCCCCACTAAATCCAGTCCTTAGGAGGCACCTAAGAGGGGGAGGGGCAGGAGCGGCGGGCACGCCCCCATCATCACAGACGCTCTTCTAGCACCCAGTCTTTATTCATTTTTTTTAAAAAGAAATCCAAATAAGTTAGCAAAAAAAAAAAAAAAAAAATACAAAATAAGGTCAAAACCACACGATGCTTAGTTAAGAAAAGAAATCACCCCAAGAGCCCTTGCCCCCCTCCCTGCCTGTCCCTGGCAGCTCGTGCACAGGAGACCTTGGTCAGATGGGAGCTTTACAAACAACACAAAACATAAAACCACTGGAAGGTTCCCAGTATTCACTGCAAAAGCTTGGCCCCCCAGGGACTTGGGAACAGAGGATTGTTCCTCTCCCTTTCTTCTCCCTCGATTCAGGGCAGGCCCAGCCCAGCCACTGGCATTGGGAAGAGACAAGAACAGGAGATGCACACAGCTCATCCTAGCCAGGACACTGTCTCCGGCTCTCAAACCGCTTTTCTCAAGGGGGTGGAATTGGCGGCATTATGAACAAAGGGAAGCTCCTGAGTTTGCCCCCTGAGATGGGGCACACATGAGGGGCACTCTGGTCCCCTGCTTCATCTCCCCGGAAACAGGATGCTCCTTGCTGTAGGGAGTCAGCTACATGAGAGTAGCTGTTCCCTCTCTGGGTGGTGAGTTAACCTTATATGGATGAGGAAGGGGACATTCTGGCATTTGGCAGCCCCGGGGCTGGCTTTCTGGCATCAAGACAGCCTGGCTTAGGAAGCCCGTGCTGCGGGAGCAGTGGCATCTGTGGCCAACGTTGGGGCTCCCACGGACACCCGGCCTGGCAGACGGTCTCAGTTAGGCATGGTTTCATCCGGGAAGGCCACAGAGACGTCTTCCACTGTGATGCTGTCCACAATGGAGGTGAGCGAGTGCAGGTTGTGGGTGTCTGCAGGATCAGCTGTGAGCAGGTGATCTGTACAGAGAAGCAGGGAGGATGTTACCTGGGTGGTGAAGGGGGTGTCGAGATCCAGGACAGGGACTGAGCTCTTTGGGGGTGGCACAGGTTTTCCTGGACAGATGGGTGAGCAAAACTCAAGAATCCTACTCCCCAGCCCATGCCTTTCCCAGTGCTCTGCATGCACCCACGTGTTTATCTGTGTGTGTGTACACTGAACACATATGCCTCCTCTCTGAACTCCCCTAGTTGGGTTAGAATTTGAAAGCAGCTACTCTGTGGTGGGGCCAGGACAGCATCTCCTGGGAGACTGGAACTGCCTTTTGCTGGCCCCATTGTGCAGGACTGACTCAGCGATTCCCAGGGACCCCTGGAGCAGGGACATTCTCCTCTCCATGGAGCAGGTCAGGCCCCAGGCATGGGCTGGGGAGCTGCAGGAGGCCTAGACCGGTCCTTAGCTGGTCAAGATCTCAAGGAGGCATAGGGCCTTCCGGCCCACCGTTTGGGACCCTGGGTTCAGCCATTCCCTGGAGACACCAAGGGAAGAGGACTGGAGCAGACAACTGGGCCTAGAGACAGGCTGATGGGGTTGAGCCAAGGTTTGGAGGGTCTCACTTACCCCCTGTATTGGGGCCAAACTCCAAGGTGCTGCCCCACTCTGGACTGCAGGAGGCACTGTGGGAGCTGCATTCACTGGGCACCTGAAAGACAGGGTGAAGGCCCAAGGTCAGAGCACGGGCCATTTTTGGTGATGTCTTTCTGTCCAGTTCCACAGGGCGAAAGCTCCCATTGTGGGGTTGGACAGTGGGCCACAGGCTGCAGCGCTCCAGCCCAGGGCAGCCCCCAGCCTCAGGATCTTCACAGGCAGCAACTTTCATGCTCCTGCCTGACCACAGAGCCCCTGCTTCCAGGCCTTTCCTGTCCTCCATCCTGGGTGGTGAGTCCATCCTCACAGGACACCCAGCCTAAAGGGGTCCCAGGTTTTCCTGACCCTAGGATAAGGATGGAGGAAGCAGGTGCGGGTCGGCCGGGGCTCTGGGAGAGACACTGGGTAGTTGTTCTCTCCGCTCAGCCACATACCCAGGATGGCGTGGGGTGGGGGTGCAAAGTGGGCCTCGGCCGTGCCTTTCAGACCCCAACCCCAGGCACTGGGATGAACCCTCGCTCCCACCCAGGCTGACTCTGGATTTGTTCTTGGATCCCCTTCTTCAGTCCTCTGCCACCCCCCTCCACATCTGCTTCTACCCTTCTACCTTCTACCCTTTAGCCTGGCTGGAAAGGACAAAGGGACACCAGAGGTCAGTTGGACAGCCCCGTTCTGACGAAGGAGGGGGTCCTGTGGGCCCATAAGATCCCACCTGTCACCTGCTCCCACCCTCCGACCGAGCACCCCCCCCAAGGGTCACGAGGCTGTCCAGGGTCTCCCGTGCCCCCTGCCCCCTGGGCAGCCGTGGTGGGACAGCCACTTACCCCTGGCTGGGGCCCGCCACCAGCCTGGTAGCGGAGGTCCCGCTCTTCCTGGTGGAGGGAGCTGAGCAGGGCCTGCAGGCGCTCAATGTACTGGATGGCGCTGCGCAGGATCTCCACCTTGGGCAGCCGCTGGCTGGGGTTGGGCAAGGTGCTCCTCTTCAGAGCCTCGAACGCCTCGTTCACCTTCTTGAGCCTGCGCTTCTCCCTCAGCGTCGCTGCGCGCCGCCGGTCCACTGACACCGACTTCCTCTTACACACCTTGCACGCCCATGGCAGGCACTGGCCCAGGCAGTGCTCGGGGGTCCCCAGCCCCTTGTCCTCGAGGGGCCCTCGCACCTCGGGGCTCAGGCTGAGCTCGGCCCGCTCGTAGCCTGGCGGCTCGAAGGCCTGGAGGTGGACGGGCAGGTAGTTCTCCCCGTCATAGAAGTGGGGTTCCTGGTAGAAGTAGGGGGAGGTCTCATACAGCTCCATGGGGTCGGAAAAGACTCGTTCCCCAAGCTCCTGCAGCCCCTCACGCCAACTGCTGGGTGCCATTTAAACCCTCCCCGCTGGCATGGAACCAGAGATAAATATAGCCAACGCCGCAGAAACCTGAGCCCCCCCTAAGCTGTTGCTGCACATCAAGACGTTTACAGTGGATTAGATGCGACTCCCCTTCCCTCTCCCCGCAGCCCCACCCCACCCAGCCTCCTGCCCCAGCCTGGGCTGGCTCCTGTGCACGGGGAGGGAGGCCGTCGGTGTAATTTGATTAGTTTTCATTTCTCAGCAGCCCCTGTGGGGCAGGGGAGGTGGGGGAGGACACACATTCTCCTCTCATCTGCTCCTTTCAATTACTCCTAGCTGGGCGGCCTGCCTGGTTTCTCCTTGCTAGTCCCAGAGAAGTGCAGTGGGGGTGGGGGAGAGCCTAGGGAAGGGAACAAGGAAGGGCAGGGTTCAGGCTGGAAGGGGCCTGAAGAAGTCAAGGTGTCCGTCCCCCTGCTTCCTGACAGCACCTCAGCCAGCCTCCATCCGTTGGAAGCATGAGGCCGCTTTGAATTCAGGGTGTGTATGGGGGCTCCATGTCCAGTGGTAAGAAGGAACCTGGAGAGGAAAATGACTTCAGCTCCTGGCTTTCTAAAGCAGCCTGGATGTCTTATATCTCATAGGTCTCCAGTAATAGAGGAAGTGGAGGCAAGGAGAATTTTTTGGTCTTTTTGGCAAAAGTCGGTAGAAGTCTTCCCTTTAACACAGCTGGTCAGAGGCAGAGCAAGAATGAGGACTTACAGGGCACCTGGGTGGCTCAGTGGGTTAAAGCCTTTGCCTTCAGCTCAGGTCATGGTCTCAGGGTCCTGGGATCGAGCCCCGCATTGGGTTCTCTGCTCAGCAGGGAGCCTGCTTCCCCCCACCCCCCTACTCTCTGCCTGCCTCTCTGCCTACTTGTGATCTCTGTCTGTCAAATAAATAAATAAAATCTTAAAAAAAAAAAAAAAAGAATGAGGACTTACAGGCTTACCCCTTGCCACCTTCCCCATAGTAGCAAGGTCAAGATCTAGGAAACCCTCTGTCTCCTCCCTCTCGCCCTCCGGATCATCTATCTGCCCTTCTGTGTTGCCTCTTCAACTCTGTTTCCTGCCCCATGGCCAGCCTTTCCTGACTGCTTGGTGTGGGTGGGTGGGAGGGGGAGAAAGCAGAGCCCTGCGGACTCACTTTGAATCTTGCCTCTCCTCGACCACCTGGCGTGGTTCTGCATCTTCTCATCTAAGCCATCAGTTTTACATGTAATGTGTAGGTCTCAAATGTCAGGGGGAAGAGGGACTACTCCATCTTTAGGCTTCTCAGTCCATGGTTACCTCTCAGCAGAGGGTTTGGGGTCTGAGAGGACCAATCCTCCCAAGACTGTGGGCTGGCCTGAGAGACCAGCGGTGGACAAACGCAGTCTTAGGGCTGAAGAGTTACAGGGATGCCCCAGGCAGGGTCTCTGCCCTCAAGGACCTTAGCATTAGTAGACCCTGATGGTTACCTAGTTCTCGCCAACCTGTGATGCCTGATTCCCCCTCACGGGTGGCCATTGTCCAGCTGTGGCTCACGAGGCAGCCTGTTCCACTGATGTGCAGCTCTGGCCATGGGGAGGCCTTCTGGATTTTGGACTGTGCTGTAATGTCTTCCCTTTTTTATCCTTTGGTCCTGTTTTCTTCTCTAGGAACCAGTGGACTAAGTCTGGTTCCTCCTCCACTTGATATTTGAGATTGATGTTATAAGTTCCAAACGGTGACAAGGACGATAAGAGGTGGAAGAATGGTGCTGGGGACTCAGAGAGGACTTCTTAAAGATTTTTATTTTATTTACTTGACAGACAGAGATCACAAGTAGGCAGCGAGGCAGGCAGAGAGAGAGAGAGAGGAGGAAGCAGGCTCCCTGCTGGGCAGAGAGCCCGATGCAGGGCTTGATCCCAGGACGACTGGATCACGACCTGAGCCGAAGGCAGAGGCTTTAACCCACTGAGCCACCCAGGCGCCCCTCAGAGAGGACTTCTTAGGGGAGGTGAGCCCCGCATGGAGCTTGAAGGAGCCGGCTTTCCTGCCGCTCACCGTCTATGGTGAGGAGCCGGGAAAATGCTGGTGTCTGTTTGGGGTAGGGAACAGAGATGAGGAGGGGTGGCACCGGGGCAATAAAAAAAACCCCTAAGCATGTTGAGGGAAGCAGTGAGGTCTTCACAGGGTTCTGGACCTTCCCAATGTGGCAGCGGTTGGGGGCGGCGGGGGGGGGGGGCTTTGGGTTCTAAATCCTGCTTTGACTCTGCTTTGACCAGCTGGGCTGAAGAAGAAGTGCTATTTCTAAAACACATCCCGCCAAGCAAAGAAAAAAGAAAAACCTTGCCTCAGTTTACACCCCAGTCCTATGAGCCCTGAGGAAAGAAGTGATGTGGAAGTTACTATGGAAACCAAAAAATTGCATCCTTTGGTCCTTTTGGGATGCAGTCTGCCTTGCCCCTAAACAGTGTGTTCACATCCTCTAAAAATGGAAGCAGGAAAGCTGGTCTTGTTCTGATTTCCAGGATCTTACTATCTATTTGGCGAGCATGGACACTCAAGTGTGAATGTTAGATTGTAATGTAAGAGCGCTATTTTAATTCAGCAGGAAACATGGGGGCCGTGATCGATTGCAAAGGAGTGGGCTCACCAACTAATGTTTCAGGAGTTTATGGAAAGTCAAAATCACCAAAGTCTGGTCTCTGTGGAAGGCTTGAGGAGGAGAGTGTTGGGCTGGCTCTTGGAGAACAGGTGGGATTTAGATGAGAAGAGAGGAGGGGAAGGGGGTTCTGGGTGGAGGGTTTGTATGGCTCTCGGGGTTCCGGTAAGTAGGCGATCCAACGAGTCTGTACAGATGGGAGGGGGCCCAACTGGACATGGGCAGATTCGAAAGCTGAGACAAAGAGACCCCATAGAAAACCATAGCAGTGATCCAGGAGTGAGGTGCTGAAGGTCGGAGCAACCCACTAAGTTGGGGGGAGATAGATTCCACCAGGAGAGGGTGTGGGGATCAGCTGGCAGAGGGATGGTGTGCGTGTGCATGCATATGTGTGAGAGGGGAATGGTCATTGTAGTAATGAACACGGACCATGGAAACACCCAATAAGTATCAGTCCCTTTCCTTGCTTTGTCCTCTCCACTCCTGGCCTCTCTCCCAGGCTATGGCCCTGGCTGTCACCGCCTCCAGGGGACCAGAAGAGCAGGAGTCAGGGAGGGAAAACCTGGCCCCATCCCAGGTGTGCATCTATTTTCTCACTCACACCTTTCAATCAAGATATATGTATCGCATACCTTGTGCTGCGTGTTAGGGTCACCGATGTGAATAAGATGTGGTCTTTGTGCCTGCAGCCTAGTCACGTGGGGTAAGGGACATGAGTACACGAAGTTCTCCAGCCGGAGTGGGCCGTGTTAGCTGGTGGAAGAGTAGTTTAGAAAAAGTGCTATGCTATAATCCAGAGAAAGAATTTATGAACCCTGCCCCCTTTCTCGGCTGAACCCAGTTTCCTAGGAGCCCACTCTGCGTCATTCCCCGGGGCTGGGGCTGCACCTGGGTGGGAGCAGGAAACAGGCTCAGCCGCCACTCTCAGGTTCAGGTGTGAGTTTGGTCTTGTGTGTGTAATGTTTGTCTCTAACCAAAGGTGAGGGCAGGGCTGGAAGGTTAGGGTGGTCTTCTGTGCCTGGGTTTCAGTGAATCCCTGTCTGTAGATGTGTTTGTATCTGTCTCCCCCGTGTAAGTGGCCTAAGGACCATGTCAGGCCCCAGCTGTGGGGCACAGACCCTCCTAGGACTGAGAAGCTAGGGTGGCTCAGGCATCTCTGACCTCAAAACCCTGGTGGGGGTTCCCACCTCGTTCCTCTTTCATAGCTGAGCTGCAGAGCAGCCGCATCTCAGGGCTTGGCCTTCCTCCCCTGCACACTCACCCACCCCACGCAGGCTGCCCTCTGATGGATGGGAACACATTGGTGCCAAGCACAGAACAGCCTTTGTGCTCCGCCACCAGCGGTGATCCGTCAGCTCTAACCTGACAGCAGGGCGTCGGGCCCTAATCCCCACCCCTGCTGGCTTGGGCACACGGGGGGCCCCCTGGCCCGACTGTAGCCTCCTCCATCCGACCCTCTCCCTCCAGAAGAAGCCCTTATCTCTGGCTGGGGCTCCAGGGCTAAGCTGTTTGTGCCCCCACCCTGTCTGTCTCAACTCAATTCTGCCTATTTGCATGCTGGACTGATCTCATCTGCATGGTAGTGGTTGGGTTTCCGAATGCCCAGAAATCCCCTTCCCCTGCCTCTCGGATCCTTCCTTCCCCCTCTGCTGCACTCCTAGTTCTACTCTCTGATTCCTAGCCCCTTCCAGTCCCTGCCGACCTCACAGGTGGGCTGACCTGGGCTGCCATGTAGCTTGGCCAACATCAAAGCAAGTTTTCCATTCTGGAGTCTCAAGTGCCTGGCAATAGAGAAGCAAAAAGAAGAGTCTGGAAAGGGTGGGGGCTTCGGGCTTCTCCAAACAGACCTCATTTTTTGTTTTCTTCGCCTGGGTCTCTGGATGTTGTGAATGAGAACTGGGTGGGGGTTGGGTGGCAGGAATGTATGTACATTTCAAGGACCTAGATGCATGAATGTGGCATACAAATCAGCTTGATTATTTGGGGAGCAGTAGCCTCATGGCAGGGTGAGAACCCATCACAGAATCATAGAATGTCAGAGCTGGGAGGTAGCCAAAGGATTAGCTGGTTCACCTTCTTCCTTCTACATGCTGGGAAACTGAGGCCCAGAGGTGGGATCAGACTTGTCCAAGGGTGCACAGAGCACCAGTAGCAGAAGTCTGAAGGGTGTCGCTCTTGGGTGGCCCGATTTTAGGCCTTGGGGCTGAATCCAGGTGTCTCCTCTCCCTCCCTGAGGCTGACAGGTAAGGAACACACTTCATGTGAGTACGTGATTTCCAGGTGGCAGTCCGTGAGGGGACTGGAGTGGCTCCAGGCTTGGAATGGAGAGTCAGGGAGACGTGGAGAGATGAAGACAGGTGAAGGGG